ATATCTTAGACATGCCTGGACTGATTACATTCAAACTTCACACATAATATTATACATATTCACATCAATTAGTTTCATTATCTGAATTAAGATGACCAAATGGAGGCCATTTTTCACTGAAAAATCATCAAAATCAAGCATTTCTAGCATTCTGGAACCGGATCTATTGTTTACAAATGGATTTTGCTCAAATTTGGTACATACATTGGACATTATGGGGCCTCTGAGATGCTTTGACTGATTATGTTCAAATTTTTAATATTCATGTCATAGATATACAGATATATTTGACGATTTGCTTCAAAATGGCCGAATGGTGGCCATTTTTGTGCTAACAAAATCATCAAAAATCAAGCAATTCAGGCATTCCGAAACCTAGATCTTGATCGTTTATGGATAGATTTTGTTCAAACTTGGCACATACATTAGGCATTATGGGTCCCTGATGCACGTCATTTTGTTTTTCATATGCTATTCAAAATGGCTAACTGGTGGCCATTTTTCTTGGTTCTAAAGCCATATCTCTGACATACTTTGACTAATTGTGTTCAAATTTTGTATATTCATTATACATACTGTCATAGCTTCTGGATTTATATCTCTGACATGTTTATGTTCAAACTATATTACTATAAACAAAACTATATATCTTAAATTTGATAACTAACGGGGACTGTGCATGGCTTGTTTTAGTAGATTTACTTTGTCAGTGAAACCTAGTGAATAGTTAATGTATGTATAATTATAGGTACTGCCATGCTTTCTGGTGATTTAACTTCTGGACACAAAATTAATTCACCGGTAATTCTTATTGAATGTAGCATTATTTACAGATAGGGTTGAACATATTTAATTGATTTACTGTCTTCTTGCAGGTGCTGATCAACCCACCAGTTGTGGAAGGGTTTGAGGATTGGAGGAAAACAAAGTTTTTAGAATTTAGATTCTATGATATGGATTTCACATTTGGTTTCCTTGCTGATAACTATGTGAGTATTTAAAATACTGTGGATTTAACGATATCACCTGAAAATAATGCTAATTATTTTACCATGAGTTTGTTTGCATTTTGTGAGGATATGTTTATTTATGATATGTGTGTGCCCAATGTAACATTTCAACTCATCAAGTGGAGCTTATCATATGAGTGATTGTCTGTCGTCGTCCGTGTCAACTTTTTAATTTTTCGACTACGGTACTTCTTGAAAACTACAAGCCTGAATGCTTTGATACTTTGTGTATATTTACCTTGGGTAGACCTCTCTTAGATTTGTTCATTTCATGATGATATCTTTAATTCTCTAATTTTAGTGAATATTTTTGATAAAAAGTGATATTTTCGACTTCTTTTTGAAAACCGCAAGTCTGATTGCTTTCATATTATATGTATAAGTATTACATATAGACCTCTCTCAGATTTGTTCATTTCGTGATAATAACTTCAATTTTTTATTTTTGATATTTTCAACTTCTTTTTGAAAACAGCCCAATTGCTTTAATACTTGGTATATAGGTATCTTTGGTGAACCTCTGACAGATTTGTTCATTTGATGATATCATCAATTCTATATTTGTTGCAAATATTTCTCTAATGAATAAACTACCAACACGATTGATTTGATATTTGATGACATCTTTTCTGATGAAGTTAAGTTGATATCATACATATAGGTACCTCATTTCGTGATGTTATCTCTAATTCTCTAATTTAGATGAATATTTTAATATATATTTTCGACTTCTTGTTAAAAACCGCAAGTCTGATTGCTTTTATTTTATACATATAGGTACCTCAGGTAGACCTCCCTCAGATTTGTTAATTTCGTGATGATATCTTCGATTCTCTAATTTAGATGAATATTTGTCATTTTTGGTAAAAAGTAATATTTTCGACTTCTTGTTGAAAACAGCAAGTCCAATTGCTTTGATACTATACATATTGCTCATTTTCTAATGATATCTTCAGTTCTTTAATTAAAATGTGCAAATTTGATAACAGCGGAGTTATCTCAGCCGACAAGATTAATTAATTTCAGATATGTTTAAATATTTCTTACAATATAACATTGTTATAAGTCACTTTATCCTATTAATCAAAATTAACCAAAACAGGAATGTCTGTTCTTGATATTCAGTATTTTTTGAACCTTTATTAACTAAATTATTGTGGCAAAGCCGCATGTTTATTAGGTTCATTTTTACACTCCTCTCATATTGGTGTATGAATCAGAAGTATTTTGTTGAATTTCATTTATCAACATAATATTGTAATTCTTTGGCCTCACTAATTCCACCAACAGCTGCTTCAACAGTTCTATTGTTTGGATTCATGTTGTATTGAATTATGTTTTATCCTAAATACTCCATTTAATTTCACACACACACAACATATCAAACTATTACTCACATGAATTTAGTAAATTTTATCATTTTATTTATTTTTGGGCGTGTACCTGTTTATTTCTTTCTTCCCTGTTTTTACTCCTACTTTATAATAAATGCATTAACACTTCTCACGTAGTTGTATGACAATCCATTCTCACGTAGTCATCTATTCTGCTTCATTACCCAAATAAAGATAAATTTGATAAGTGTATGATTATATAAATTGTGGATGAAAATACTAATGGAGAATTTAATGTACTGTATCAGGCTAGATTTTCTTATTAGCTAGGTTTTATTTCTCTCCCCCTTATTTTTTCTCATTATTCTAACTTAATACCTGAGTTATATACTAGGGAATGTTTGCTATAGAACATGTTGCCTTCCCATACCAGTAATATTATCCATGCAGCACCAAACCTACTAAAATTACATCTAGTGAATATGCATCTGTCTAAGTCCCTGCTTTCTTATTGAA